TCCTTTTAATCCAAAATGAATCATTCGGTCTGAACGAATAACAATTTAAGGACAGTACTAACCTTTACAATCACCACAAACCTCCTAAACAAATAGTAACGCAGGAACAATGAGCTTAACGACAACCATCTGAGTGTAAATTCCCTTTGTTGGACTGCAAAATAGCCAGGAAATGAGTTTAGGCAACCACGGCCCATCAATTCATTTGAGTGGCCAGCGGTGTATGACGCTCACATTTGACCAGTGGCCAACCTAACCTGTGGTTACATGTTATACCAACCGTATTCTTCCAGGGAAGTAGGTTTGAGCTGTGTTGGAGTGCCAGGTTATGGGAGAGGCACTGGATACCGACAAGGCCTGAGCTGCTTGCAGAAGAAATCCAGCCACATGTGGAACGCTGTGCAGCTGGAAGGGCAGTGGCACCTGCTGGACACCTGCTGGGGCGCGGGCATCGTGGATGTGGAGAAGAGACGGTTCATTCCCAGGTGAGACCCCAGCTCATCTCCAACAGAAACACACCAAGCGCTGGTGTGCTTACACCAGCAGCTCTCAGCGACTGTGTGCAACCACCCCCACCTTACAGCATGGAGAAAAAAAAAAAACCCATTCAAGACTGTCTTCCCCTCCAGCCATCAAGACGTTATGACAGGTATCAGACCCTCCTCTACTAGGCCCCTTGGAAGTCCTTGAAAACCAGTTAACACAAGAGATGGATAGGTCTCCTCCTCTTCCCTCACTGCCTTTTATGACTTAGCCTTAACGCTAAGAAGATGGCATGTTCCAAAAAAGCAGGAGCAATTTTGAGTGGAGGGGGGAGCGTTCAGCAGGGTGGGACAGATTACAGAAGGAGCCTAACTCCACCTGGACAAATAATAGGTGCAATAAAATCTGGCCCTACGAATCCTAGAAAATGAGGGCTGGAAGGGACCTCAGGAGGTCACATCTAGTCCAACCCCCTGCTCCAAGCTTGACCAGCCCCAACTACATCATCCCAGCCAAGGCTTTGTCTACCTGGGTCTTCAACACCTCCAAGGATGGAGACTCCACCACCTCTCTGGGTAACTTGTTCCAGTGCTTTACTACCCTCCTACTGAGAATTTTTTCTTGATATCCAACCTCAACTTCCCTTCCTGCAACTTGAGGCCATTGCTCCTTGTTCTGTCATTTGTCACCACTGAGTCCCTAAAACATGATTTCATGCCCATGGAGGTTGTTAGGCCCTCCATGTTGAGATCCTATCGCCCAGAGCAAGGGTCAGCAGCACGCTTCCACTAAGAGCAGGCCAGGGATGCCGGCTCGGTCCTAAGGCAAGGCAGAGGTGCCATTTTTTAGATAATCGACCCCTAAGTGGTGCATTCTTGCACAAAGCTTAATAAACAAGGCCTGCTTTACATGCCAGATACATTCACTTTGCAGGCCATAGGTTGCCAGCCCCAGTTTAGAGCAATGCAGCTAAACCTTTATGGATTAAATACCTTCCCGCACACCCTTGGCGCATGCTATTGTAACCTGTGCCATCGGACCCATAGGAGCTATTCCTGCCTCACCCTGGCCATGCAGCTGCCTATCTGATGCATGTACCCCTTTTTCCTCTAACTATGCAAAGAGGACTATAGTAGAGTCCTTCAGTCTAGCAGCTTCAGGACAGGAGATCCAGTCACTTGGGGAAGAGGAGGGCAAAAAAATAACAGTTGCTCCAGCAGCAAGGCAGCAGCTGGAGGTCAGTGCTGCTTCCATGGGTTGCTGCTGCCCCGGGTGCCCAATTGCCCTGTTACGCCTCTGCTTCAGAGTTCAAGTCAGCGGCAATGTTTCTATCAACTTGCATTGGAATTGGCTCAGCCCCTCGGTGTAGATCAAGAGGGGCAGCAGGGCAATTGTATTGCTAATGGAGACTGCTATTTCCTCTTCCCAGTCTGCTTTGAGCTCCTCTAATATAGTTGCTGAATGCATGGATTTCCTCTTGCTGAGGATCTAAATACCGAGGGACTAAATTGAAAGCCCTTGCACTCAAAAAAAAAGCCTGAACATTGATTTCAATAAGATTTACTTCAACCCAGAAGTGGGAGTCTTAAAAAGTCCCTTTGCAAGCTGAGAGGCACCTGAGGAATGAAAATCTGAAGCGTTAAGATCAGAACAGAGAATGGCACCGTTGTGTTTTATAATTGAAAATGCAAATTCAGAAGTCATCTGCCTTGTAAATAGAGGCTTTTAAGGAATAATCAAATGATACCTTTTTCCTGCCGCTTGTTTTAATTAAAAATACATGTCACCCCTCACACAATTAATCTCCATTTCCACAGCAACTTTATCATTATGCAGGTCTAGATATATTTACTTGCAAATTCTCAGCACATTCCTAAGTAAATAATGACTCTAGCAAAAATTATTTGTGTAATTTAATAATTCTCCATTAGTTATATTATGAAGTTGTCACTTTCTTTTTACTCTAATGCTGCATAATGAAGTCATTGTGGAATTACTAATGGGCAATTATCTTACTTGGAACAACTTAAAACGTTAGGGGCTTGGGGTTGTTGTTTGATAGTGTACGGGGGGAAGAGTAGGCTCATTGGGCACACCCAGACGAGTGTGCACACTACACGTGCCACACATGCAGGTGTTCCCCACGCTGCTAATTTGCAGTGGGGGGGATGGAGCTTTGATGCTCGAAGATCATGGTGTCAAAAAACCCCACACCTAAAAGTAGCAGCAGTGTGCACAACCTGAAACCAGAGCCATGCTTCAGGCTCCCTGCTGCAGGATTGCCGTGGCTGCAGCCCCCAGGACCCAGGCAAGGCTGCTGGGGCAGCCCAGATGCTGGCCCCAGCCTCCCCTACCCCACCCAGGGCAGCGTGCCATGTGCCACAACATGCATGCACTGGTGCTCCCCGGGGACAAGTAGCAGCAGCAGCACATCTTGTGGGGGTGCATCCGCTCACGGGGCACTCAGAACAGGCAAAGGATTGCTGCTTTTTGTGGGTCTGGTTCACACACTGGGTCCTTCACACAACAAACGAAGGCCAAAGCAATCCCAATGGCTAAAGACTAAAAAGTCAGACAAGTCCATACTAGAAATCAGGTGAACGTTTTTAACCAAGAGGGTAGTTAAATCTTTGAAACAACTTTCAACTGTGACTGGATGCCATACTAAACCACAAGCTCAAGGGACAGAGTTGAGGCAGGAATCACTAGGAAATATTCTGCTGCACGTAATGCCAGAGGTCAAGCAAGGTGGCTCTGGTCTTAAGTGTCTGCGAAAGCCGTTCTCTCTTCCAGGCATCTCAGGATATGAAGGAAACCGAGAGGGCTGAAAAAGCATGAACCTGACTGGTGAAGTGGCTATTAAGGACTGATTTGTGAGGAAAGATAAAAGAAAATACATCCAACTTGGTAGTGAGATGGCAATTAGGAAGGAAAATCCAAGTCGCTCTTTCAAGACAAATATTGATTGAGGAATGATTAGCTTGGCGGCAGTACTTCAGAAAAGGACCTGGGGGTTACAGTGGACCAGAAGCTGAATATAAGCCAGCAGTGTGCCCTTGTTGCAAAACAAAAAAAAGGCAAGAGGCTACTGGGTTGCGTCAACAAGAGTCACCTGAAGACCAAGGAAAGTGGTTCTTCCACTCTTTTGGCACTTGTGAGGCCTCATTGGGAGTACTGTGCCTAATTTTGGGCCCAGCACTTGAAGAAAAATGTGGACAGATTAGATAGAGGCTAGTAGAAAGTAACAAAAGTTAAGGCCTGGAAACATGACTGATGAGGAAAAGCTGAAAGAATCAGGATTATTTAGTTTGTTGTGCCCTAGGAAGACATCCCAGATCAGCTAGACAGGCTTCTTTCGAGTGCAAGGGCTTTTAGTTTAGTCCCTTGGTATTAAGATCTTCAGCAAGAGGAAATCCATGCATTCAGCATCTATATTAGAGGAGCTCAAAAGCAGGCTGGGAAGAGGAAATAGCAGTCTCATTTTAGCAATACAATTGCCCTGCTGCCCCTCTTGATCTACACCAAGGGACTGGGCCAACTTCAATGACGACAGATTGAGTCTTTGGTAACTCTACCCAGTATGATTCTGTGGGAGTAGGATTAGCTGACGTGCCTAAGAGAGAGATTTGACTGAAATGTCACATGTTTGTTACCCTATTAACATGTCCATGAAGTTGTGGGTCTAGCAGATCTGGAGAGAAAAAATGGGTTTGGCCTGATTGTGCACACAAGTCAAATGATAATAGATGTCACTGTGCTACCTCTGAGGCCGTCCATTTATGCCACGTAGAAGCTCCCTTTCCCATCAGTGCTGAATTAGGCTTCAGGCTCTCCTGTTGTGTGGTGACCTTGTTATACAAATAGACTTTTTGCCTATTGCTTTTAATGTTATATGTTGTCTAGAGTTTTGCATTGCCTTAAGAAACTCCATTTTGTATTGTTCTGTAGCTTGACATAAGTACTCGACCTTTTACTCTTTTGCATGCTATATGGGTGAGAGAGTGTTTGTGGAAAAGGAAAACATCAGCTGGCGACTGGCTGAAGAATGCAGACAGATAAAAGACCAAAACAAGAAGAATCCGCCCCAGAACAGTGAGAGAGCAATGGCAATCGACCTTCAAGGAAGAACACAGCGATAACCCAGCAAAAGCCCAGAGGAGTGGGGGAATTGGCAAGGCTATAAAAGATAGGGCAAGACATATCAATTTTGGGTCTCATTCTGCATGTCATCCTGGAGCATTGGTTTGTCTGATAAGATGGACTGGCAGGAGCCCGGCTCCCACTCATGATCAATTTGGCTGATCCACTAAATTGATCCAAGCACCGATAAGACTGGTAATGTATACCAGTCTAGAACAGAAATCAGGGGATGAATGAAGTGTGTGTGTGTATTAAGTGCTTAAATCAATAAACTTGGCACTTCACCTTATCCCCCTCATGAGTTGAGCAACTGGCAATCTGTGTAACAACCTCACTCTTTGGTATCCTTTTCCCACTCTGGCAGACACGATGACTTCTTCTTTCTCACTGACCCGAAATACTTCATTGAGACCCACTGGCCTGAAGACCCAGCATGGCAGCTGGTTGAACAACACGTCTCACTGGAAGACTTTGAACAGAGAGTCTTTAAAACATCTGAGTTTTTCAAGCTTCAGCTCTCCCTTCTCTCTCCAGACATCTCCCTTCTCAAAACAGGTAAACACAAAGCGAGGGCCCAGCTCCTCCATCCTTGTGGTAAGGCGACACCTTTTTGTACCTCATGGGCCCCAATTCCTGAGAGCCTCCTTGTTCAAAAGTACTGCGTTATCTGGCATTCCCATTCAAGTGCATGTTTAGATCCCATAGAAGTCAATAGGACATAGCGATGTACTTACGTATTTCCCTGAATCACGGCCATTGCACGGTAGAATAGAAGAACCAGGAGTCAAAATTCATGAATCACAGTAAATTCAGATAAGTCACTGAAAGCCTCCTGTGCCAAAGTTGCCCTGTCTGTAGAACAGGAACAAAATGTCTCTACCTCGCAGGGGGAAACGAGTTTTCATTCATTAATGTTTGTGAACAGCTCTAAGACCCCCGAAACTCCTCCTTGCAGCGTTCCCAAAGCGCTTGGCTCTGGTCAGCAGCCTCACGAGACAGCAGGACGTGACTTCTCTTTCTTCTCACACTGTTTATACAGTGAGACGAGAATACAAAGCATGATTTGAAAAAATCCCTGTCCTTTCTTGAGAAAGAGGGAGATTTTGTCTCAGCGGTGTTTGATGTGGGCTTTTTGGGTCAAATACAGCATGACCTTTTCCCATCTGAGAATCTTTCTTAAATCCTTTGTGTTCCTTTGCTACCAAATGTCCCAACATAGAGGTTTTTATTCTTTTTTCCTGCCATTTATTTCATCTTGTAGGGAAAAAGCAAGCTTGGAGCAGGGGGGCTTGACATGCTTGCTATGAAGAATTAATAGACCGCAAACAAAGCACAGCATGAAGCTTTGGAACAAGTAGAATTACTTACCCAAAAATCAAAGGCACACCATATTTCAGCAGATCTGGGCTTTCCTGATATTGATGGCCATGTGCCTTGAAAACAAAGGTTATGCACTCAATTGAGGTATAATGACTTGGTGATCAATACCTCCCCTTTCAGTCAAGGATTACAAGTTGCGGCAAGGGAGGTTTAGCTTGGATATTGGGAAAAAAACTCTCTCACTAGGAGGGTGGTGAAGCACTGAAATGCGTTACCTAGAGAAGTGGTGGAGTCTCCATCCTGGGAGGTTTTTAAGGCCCAGGTAGACAAAGCCTTGGCTGGGATGATGTAGTTGGGGCTGGTTCTGCTTGGAGCAGGGGGTTGGACTAGATGTGACCTCCTGAGGTCCCTTCCTGCCCTTGTTTTCTATGATTACACTGTCTTGTAGCATCTTCTGAGGGAGGTACAGGTTACTACCTCTCCGAGTGGTGTGACCAAGGTCACACAGCAAGACCACAGCCCTGGTGGGAATAGTTTCATAGTTGTTAGGGGCCGGAAGGGACCTTACAGATTATCGGGTCCAGCCCCTCCACACATGGGCAGGAAAGACCAGTGGGGTCAGAGGACCCCAGCATGGTGGGCATCCGGATGCTTTTTGAAGATCACCAGGGAGGAAGACCGTCTCATCTCGGGGGTGGGGAGGCTTCCAAACCAAAACCCAGAATTTTTGAGTTCCAATTTTGTGCTCAAACCACCAGTCCCCTTCCCTATACAAGTAATGCCCAGTAAAAGAAATGCTGCCGTTTCAAAGGACGGTGGGAAAGAGATCCATCAGCCCAGAAGCACTGAGCCTGACTTGGTTGCTCAAGTGCTGCATGGTTGAATATAAAAGGTGCCTGGACAGCAGCAGGAGCAGCAGCAGTACCGTGTGCTGTCACCTTGACAGATGAGGCTTGGAGTACTTCACCGTCGGGCACAGCTGGATGCCAAGTCGATCATTTCTCTCAGCAGGGCAAAGCGACCGGATGTCGGGGGCACCCAGAACTGCCCTACACAGGGCTGTCTTCGCTGCCGCCTAGTCTGCAACATCCAGAGTAAAGCAGGGAAAAGTGCAGCCTGGCTGGTGGCTGGAGATGGTGCCCACCCACCTCTCCTCTTTGCATTGCTCGGTGAAGGCTCTGCTGTGGTCTCCTGCAGGAGTTCATTTCATTTGTACTCAAGTGTGATGAGCACGCACACTTGCATCCAACAGCACTGAGAGCAGCCAACATCTTCACTGACACTAACCAAGTTTGGGACCCACGTGCAATAGCATCTGGCAGCATTGGGCAGCCTTCATGTGGATGAATACAATACACTTCTGCTTGGCTATTTTTTTTTTTTTTTTTCCAAATGCAGCTAAAGCAAGGACTTTTTTTGACCCTGAATGTTGCTTTATTTGAGAGGCATCAGATTTGCCTTTTTTCGCCCCAGACTGCTCTGGATTCTCCAAGTGCAATGCGTTTTTATTTTGGCCGTATCCACTTCCAGGCCCGTGCGGCATGCTGCTTGTATCCAATCGTCGAGGTGGCTCTGCCTCGAGTCGAGATCAGCGTCCAAGAGAACTGCATCACGGATGAACAAAAGGACAGGGATTTGGTAAGACGTGGGAAAGGCGTCCGCCGGGAAACCGTATGAATGATCCATTCGACTGAATACATAATCTGCAACGAGAGCAAACAGACAGGGAGCCACGACATTGCTCTGCTGTGCATCCAGGGTCGCTGGGAACTAATTAGTGCTTGAGTCACCGATCGAGCAGCACAGCTGCAATTCTCCTGGGACTTTCCAGTTGCCTTGGCTACGAGTTTTGGACTCTCAGAGTACCAGAGGATTACCAAGAGCCAGCAGCAGACAGCAGAGATAATGCTCCTGAGAAACCACCAACAAAAATCACAACTCAAGGCAGCATTTTGTCCTAAGGCCTCCTGGGTAGCGGCTTCGCTCTGCGGACGTGTTCCTTATTGATCTCGTGCTTTAAAAACCCACTTGGCAGAGGGGCACCGAAGGGTTCGATCCCATTCAGCAGCATCCTGCTATAGATCCTCTATGGCAGTGATGGGAGGGAGAGAGACCACCATAATTGTTTGTTTTAGTCAGTCAGCCTTTCTTAGGGACCAGGACTCTCTTTGCCAACTGCTCCACGAGGTCTGGTTTCATAGCATGCAGCTACTACTAACAAGACCTGTATTCATTTCGAAGCACCACGCTTCAATATTTCCAGTACTGGCAGATGCCCTCCCACTTTTTCAGCTGTCTAGCCACTGGTGAGAGTTCATCGACACCGAATGGACTGTAATCATAGGAAGATGGGCTCGAGTAGAGGAACCTTCTCAAGCCCAGAGCAGGAGGGTTGGACTCAATGATCTTTCGAGGTCCCTTCCAGCCCTTCATTTCTATGAGTCTATGATTTTCTCCCTACTCATCCTTAGTGGAGAACAAGATCTAAAAGTATCGCTTCCATTTTTATTTCTTTTTTTTGATAGTCCCTCTGGCTTGAGGCTGGGCCACTCTCCTTTTCTTTGTTCACATTGCTCATTGATTGTATTTCTCACCAGCCAGGACACCAAGGCCCTGATACATGCCCTTTTCATTGACTATTCGCTTTTTCAGCTGTACCAATTCATCGTAGGTTTGTTAAAGCCTAGCACTTGGAGTACTTTTGCAAGTTTTTCATAAATGATCATGCAAGCATGACTGTCTGGACATGTTACACAGCTCCACAAGCCTGTCAGGTGTGTTATTTATATCGGTGGCCCCCAGACATTTCCTCTCCCCCAATAGAAGAGAACTGCAAGCGGACCCTACGTGCTGTTTGTGCTATCGGCTCCACTGGGAAGCATATGGGAAGAGGGGGAGGGATATCTACCTTCCACATGTCAATCTTTTTCAGCTTTCAAATACTGGAATGTCCAATTTGAAATGGAAATTGTGATTTCAATTGATATTTTTATTTTTGTTTTCAAAGTTTTTCCTTGGAAGAAGTCAACATTTTTTTTCCCTAGAAGAGTCCTTGTTTTTTTCTTTATTTTGACCAGTCCTATTGATTTGACCACTAAAATTATTTTCAAAAGCCAGCCCAATCTCATGAGTCTGCTTAAAAAGCTAAATTGTGAACCCTCTCAGCCCTTATAAAGATCTCTATTTTTGTGTATGAAGAGTCTGGGTGTGAACTTACACCTACAAAAATGGAGCTTAATATCTGGAAAAAAGTGCTTACAATCTAGTATAACTTTAGTGCAAATTATATGCGTAAGGTCTGTATTACAAGATCTGCCTATTTTTCCCTAATATTGTTCAGATTTAAATTTGTGCAACTCCCATTAGCTTAAAAGCCCATGGATACGATTTCCACATACAATGGCTTCTTGATTGCTTCCATTTCTGGCACTCAATTGAGATTTCTCAAAGGAACCTGATTTTCAGATAATATCAAGCGTCATCCTTGGGGGGAAAAAAAAATTGAGCCTTTTTAATTGCTTATCACATCCTGATCAATGAGGACTACGGCAGAAAGAAAACAGCAAAATTTCGTCCAATTGGTTTACCAGAACCTTTTCCATCATCATCTCCAGTAAACCAGTCATCAGTGGCATATGCCTTAGATACAACAGCAGAAGGGGAAGGAAGCTTTTTAAAATATTTTGGAAAAGTAAAAATGTGTCTACATGTTACTGCAGTGTTTTGCTAAGCAATTAGCCCAACGCACATCAACCATCTGTAGGAAACTATTAAATGCCTTGATGTGGAAACTGCACTGGAACACATCCATGGGTTTCACCTAATTTCTTCTAAAGAAAGGAATCTTTAGCTCACTGGTGGAATAAATTCAACGCCCCACAAACGTTTGTTTGAAACATATCCGCTAATTATCTTTGAGGGCTTTCTTCCCAAAGCTGAGCTCGTTATTGTGTTCCCTATCTCACCATCTTTGGCTGGGTTGGGTACAATGTTCTTTTCTTTTCTTTCTTTCCAAAGATCCTCATATGATGCAGCCAAACAGGGCAGCAGCTTCGGAAACGAACATTGGCTGAATTTAATAGTGAGCAAACCTGCTGTTAATAAATTCTGTCATCAGTGATGTCTCTACTGAAGAGCTGCCAGGAGACTATTGTTTGCACTTACTACATGAGCCAAGTCACAACTTGGGCAGTCAAGGCAATAATAAAACCCTACCACTCCATTCTTTGCAAATG